TAAGCCTTGTTCACAATTGAAGTTGTGGCCAAAATATTATTATGGGGAACATGTGAATTAAGTAAAGGCATTTGAAAAATGTGAAGATGAAGGCATGAAAGGCTGATTTAGGCTGGTATAAAGAGGGAGTACCTGGAGTAATGAGAAGAAACAGAGACAAGAAATGTAGGCTAGACATCTGGAGAATAAGTTCCATTAGAAGCTGTGTTGTCTACCCTACAAGTCGGGTGAGATTCCCAGCTCACTTAGGCATTCATACTAGCTCTCATCTGAGTTAGTGTAACACCAAAAAAACCCTGGTTGTTGGCAGGTGGGATTGAACCTCAGACCTCTGAAGTATAACATATGAGCCACTAATGCATGAGCTAAGAGCCAAATGCCTCTTCTCTAAGACTGTAGCAGACTCATTAATCTCTAAGTAGTCTAGAAGGAGACAGAGCACCAAACCCAGCAGGCATGGGTTACACAAGAATGCTAAAATAGTAAGGCAGACACAGTATCATGGGCAGCAGCAGAAGCCTATGCTTGCTGCTTCAAGTATAAACCTACCTGAACCTTGTGGGTACATACTTGGGGTGACTAATCTTATGCTGCTGCTGCCACTGCTACCTCAGTTTATAGTACTATTTTTAAATGTACTAGCTTAGATGTGAGCTAGCCCGAGTGCATCTATGTGACCTGGGAACCACACCCCTACCTCGTAATGTAGATGTAGCCAGAGAAGGGAAGAATCTCCCACAGGAAGCGATGGGAGCTTTATTGCTGGAAGCATTTAAATTACAATAGAAAACATTAGATGCTGTAAAGGGGGCAGAGAGTAGTCACCCAAGAAAGTTTTCCACCCCTAATTTCAATGAGTCCATTAAAATGCAGAGACAGGGTAGGTAAATTCTTATGTTGTCTTAATTTGAGAAGCTTTGGGCCCAGAAGCAATACAGCCACGCAAATGCAAAGAAAAACTGGCAGAAAAACTTACCGTGAACTGTTGAAAACAAAAAATACAACAAAAAACATTCTGCGTAATGAGATTTAAAACTGCTGTCGGTTAAGTTATCAAAAGCATCCACTAATTTTGGATGCCTGATTTAAGATAAATAAATACCTCATCCCAGGCATTCCAAATAATGGAAGCAATTACCATTCATCATATTTTCAAAAGTGCTCCTTGTTAAGCCTTAGTTCATACAGGCTACGTCTAGATTGCATCCCTTTTTCGTAAAAGGGATGCAAATTAGACATATCGCAATTGCAAATGAAGCAGGGATTTAAATCTCCCCCGCTTCATTAGCATAAAAATGGCTGCCACTTTTTTTCGGCATGGAGCTTTGCCGGAAAAAAGCGCCAGTCTAGATGCGGATCTTTCGGAAAATAAAGCCTTTTCCGAAAGATCCCTTATCCCTCTTAAAATAAGCTCCGTGCCGAAAAAAAGCAGCAGCCATTTTTATGCTAATGAAGCGGGGGAGATTTAAATCCCTGCTTCATTTGCAATTGCGATATGTCTAATTTGCATCCCTTTTACGAAAAAGGGATGCAGTCTAGACACAGCCATATAGTGCTTTCCTTCCATAGCTTCCAAGTGCATGTCCCTGTCCTTCAATGGGAGACAAAGATCCAGAGTAAAAAATACCATGAAAAACAACAGGGAGGGAAAAGGAATGTGTCATCTGTTCAGTAACCTCTTCCATGATCTAGACTTTCCTGAGGTCAGTAATTCACTGCAACAAACATGACTGCAGGTTTGTGTGGCAGTATGAAAAACTGAGTCTAGAATTAGCAACTTTCCCCTTTTACAATGTATTATATACTTCAATAGGGTGGCAAGGACATCATATGGAGGGCAATCAATTGTGCTCCCTGAGATTTTTTTTTAACAACTCATTTTATTTTGCTGTGGTAGGTCTTTTTGGTATTCATTTGAAATTCTCCATCTGAATTTATTTTTGGATTAGTAATGTGTGTAATTTCTCCCATTACAATCTCCGAGTTCATTTATAGTCATTAAAAAAAAATCACCAAGTAAGAATGAAATGGACCTAGCATAAGCTGACAAAGGAACTCCTTCTCAAGCAACACTTCCTCTTATATACAGCCATCTCCTCAGGGAAAGCGTGAACAGACAGCACTTGCAGCATGCTGGGAAGGTCAAATGACCTACAGCGCTAAGCAAGAGTGGTAGACATATTCTAGAATCAAAGACCACCACCTCCTTCCTTACAAAGGATACCCCATTTTTTAACTTTCTCCCTCCCAAATTCAGATCTGGGAACTGGAAGCAAGAGTCTTTCATTTGATCACAGATACCAGGAAACAGGAGGTTGTTAAAATACACAGATCCAAAATCAGATAAGGCTGTAAATAGCAAAACCACCGCTTTGGATAGCACCAGATATAAATTGGTAGCCAGTGAAGTCCATGGAGCACAGATGTGGTTTCCTCTGCATTTAAAACACTGTCTAAGCCAGATGGCCAACACTTCTACACCAGTTGAAGTTTTTGAATGGCCTTCTACGGTGGTCCCATGAGGAACCCGCTGCCATGAAGGCACCCAAAAGAGTCAGGATTCTGGTTCTAGCTTACTTTAGCTACATTACCTAATTAAGCTTACTTTATTTTTTCACTTTAGCTCCATATCACTCTCAATTTGAGACTGGGAAGAGGCACCATCAGGACATGAGTGGTCCCAAAGGAGGGAGTTTGCCAGACAAGAGGAGATCAGGCCTCGGGCTCTCCTGGGGCTCCCTGCCTGATCACTGGCCTGCCTGGTGCACTGTCCCCAGCCACTAGCAGGAGCTCCACTCCCAGATGCCACCCCACTCTAGCCAGTGGGGCTCCCTTCCCCTGGCCAGGAGCATCTCAGTGCTCCAAGCTGCAGGCGCTCCCTGTCTCTGGTAGGTGGTGGCTCTGCGCCTCTAGCCAAAGGGGCTTCCCTGACCCCGTCTGGTGATGGCTCCACGTCCCTTGAGGCAGGGCTCCCCTCCCAGCTCTGCTCTGGATGCTGGCCATGCTCCCTGCCCCCAAGCCACTGGCCCTCCAGGATGCCTGCCGGCTGAGCTCCCAGCTGCTGACAACCTCTGTGGCCAGGGCTCGCCGGTCCTGCCAGACGATAGATTTTGCTGGGCCAGAGAGTCCCTGACCACAGTGGTTCAAACTGTAGCTATTTGTCAAATGTTAAATCAGTATCTTGGTCATCTCCTAGCAGCCTCCTCCTGTCGCACTTCCCAATTCCCATATAATTTCCCTCAACCCTAGCCAAAATATTCAGCAGATCAAACTATCACCTTCACCCACTGCTCAGATCTCACTCCCTGCCTCAAGTTCCAGCTTTCCATTCTCACACTTCTGCTCACTTAGGTCTTCTTAGTGCCAACTGGCAGAGCACACAAGTGGTGCACAAGGATTTACAGGGATCCCCTGGCCTGGGATCTCCACCACAGTGTGCCAAAGGGCGGCATGTGAGGGCTCTACCAGCAGCATACACTGGCCGTCCTAACCATTGGGAGACATATACATGGATGACAGTGACAGAGTTATGAATCTACAGTTAAAACTACATTCTTAAGATAAATTAAGACAGGTCACCTGAAGATGACAAACACTCTGCTCAGGCAGGAGGCAGTAGACATCTCTCTCCCAGCTTGACCATTGGGTCTTATAATGTAAGTGCATTTGCACAGGGAACTAACAGCTAATGGAGACTGACTTTGATAAGAGTTCATAAAAGCTACAGAAAAAAGCGCACACACACACACACACAAACACACACACACACACGTGAGTGTGTCCTGTTTATGACCAAGATCAAAGAATGAGTCTGGCATATGAGAAGAATGCAGTGGGACACCCAACTATCCTTCATCTGGGAGACAAGCTGTCAGTTTGTTTGGGAGGCTCACAGTCACCCTTTTTACTGAACATGGGGAGAAGAATATGGCTGAGCTCAAATTCATTAGGAAAAGATCTTGTTGATTAAGCATTAAAATCTATAAAGAGCATTGTGATTTTATTTTACATGTAATCAATTACTTCCAATGCTTTACCTAGCTGCTATTATTTCAATCTTTGCTCTTTGTTAAACTTAGATAGCTCAATGAAAAGCATGGTTAGGTGTTGCATGTTAAGTGGAATGATGAAATTGATAAGATGAGATTCACTGTTCCTTTGTGACGTAGCCTAAGTGCAGAGGGCCAGCACAGCTGGCATTAGCTGAGAGGGGAGTGCTTGTTGTCTGTAGCAGTGAGTGCGCGGACAGCCAGCAGATACAGACAAAGCTTCTTCACGCTAAGGGCAGATGGTAGCAAAGTGCTTCACAGCCCTGGGTACTGCCACGCTGACTTACATCTCTGTTCTCATTTCTGCCTCCTCCACCTTTTGTTCTTTGTTCCATCTGAGCCTCTTACCTCCCTGATCCCAGTGACCTTTTCACATCTCTCTCTGTCATTCTTCTGGGCCGTTTTTCACATGTGGAGCTTCCTCCCAGCCTGCTACACAACGCAATAACTCTCTCTTCACTCATGTACAGCTCATGTCTATTGCAAAGTCCACCAAGGAAACCCCACCTAAGAGTCACTGTTGCCCACTTATCCAAAATACCATTTCAGATGCATTGGGTGATCATAGCTACTTAGACTGGAGCCCAAGTTCAGCAACAATCTCAGTTTCTTGGGAACCACATGGAGCGCAATAAGGATGCTCTCAGGAAAGTGTTAGCTCATGGAGTTGTAAAAAATGGTTAATGAAAGAGCATGGGAGTGGAATGAAGCCTGACAGTCTGGTACAAAGCAAAGGGGGAAGAAATCCAAAATTTCCCTTAGTATCCCAAGTTCCTGTTTTAGGGACTGTAAACTCTCCTCAGCATATGCCTAGTATAAAGCGAAGAGACCCTCTCTTGTTGCCTGGATTTCCCTTGTAGCTGCAGCAGGGGAAGTATGAAGTGAGACATCCTAGAGAAAAAAGTGACCATGCTGCTTAGTTAACTACCAAATTTTTGAAGTAGGCTTTACCTGAATTTCTTATACTGGAGCTGTTCAGTTTGGAATCTTTGATAACCAAGTGCTTGATCCAAAGTGTGGGAGCTGTGATTTCTGAAAGACAATGAGAAAGACTTAACAAACATGTTGGTTCCACTAGTGGGGAGGGTGCATGATGGAGATGGAGATATTCTGACTAGTCCATTCTAGTTCTTGGGGTTTGACATGTCCACCAGAGAGTTCTTTTGTGCATTTTGTGTGGTCTGGACCTTTGCCTATCTCCCACCACAGGCACACACACAACATCTTCCTCTCTTTTCATGTATTACATCTGTTTTTCTTTCCTTTCCCCTAACCCACAGTATTTTGACTCATACTCTTCAGCCCTATCTCAGAAAAAGTACAGATTAATTTGTGTGAAACTGCAAGCTATGTTTTCTACTAACAGATGCATGATATTCAACAAAATAGTTTTAAATCAGAAACATAAACATTACTTAGATCCTAGCGAGCAACTCAATCACCCTCTTTGACAATTCCCTTTTAAAATACAAAAGCAAATAGATAAATAAAGAGAACTACTAGAAGCACTTAAAAGAAAGCATGTTAAAAACTAACTAAAGCATTCTCTATTGAAAACTGAAATATTTTTAAATAGTAGGGTCAGATTTATTTATTTTTAATATAAAACATTTTACAAGGGTTTTTCTGTTTCCCTATTGGCATTTATACAGGTCTGTCCATCAAGGAAGAAGCTGATGGACCATATATAACAAACTAAGAATAAAAAATAAGGGCACCAAATATACAAAGTAAACAAAGTGAAAGGTTAGGAGGGGAGACATTTCTCTCTCAGATACAGCAATCATAGGAGGGTTTGCTTGTAAAAGGAGAATAGAGGAACTTAGTTATCTGCCCCAGCCTTCCCAAATCAGGGTCTCATCTTTGTTTATTCTTTTCTCCTTGTCCCTTTGATACAGTTTGACTTGAGAGTGAGTCAAATTTAAGGGCAAAGTTTCCAGGAATGTTCTACTTCCACAAGTGGTGTCCCTTAAAACAAAACAAAAAACAAAACAGAAGTTCTGCTCTCATTCAGACACCTATGTACAGTGATTAGGCTTCCAAGAAAGCCTAGCACTTTGGGTTATAACCACATTTGGAAAAAAAAAAACCTGGCCTCAAACATAACCCAAGAGCTACCATCTAAAGCTGACCTTTCCATTTTCCCTAACAAAGATAATTGATGCCATTTAAGGGACTATTTCCAAGTAAGATTTTTCCCCTTTAAAGAATATGTGGAAATGTTAATTTTAAAAAAGTTACAACATTGTAACAGTAATTTAGAGCTTCAGGGTTTTGCTGCCAGGTTTTGCGGTTTGTATCTTGCTAAAGAAGAAACTGTTTTCAAACAGATTTCATGGAAAAAGCAGAGCATTTCAAACTCTAAACATCAAGTCAGCTTTCATTTTAACTCTCTGACATCCCAAAACCCAATGCGATACTCAAAAGGAGTTTTCCTTTTTGCATGCCATCTGAGTAATAAAATGCCTAAAGGCAAACTTAACTCCCTTACTTCCACTCCTGCAACCACAGTGCTCATGGTGACACTTGTGCAGCCCCAAGGCCTCCATGGCAGTAGCGTAGGTCTAACAGAGGATTTACTAAGACCCCATTTCTGGGCTAGAGGTGTTCACTGATTTTGTATACATAGGGTGAGATTTTCAAGAAGAGCCTAAAGAAGGTAAGCAAACAAATCCTACTGAAATTCAGTGGGATCTATACATGTAACTTTCATCTTCGAGACCCCAGCCATAATGAATAGATCACAACAATGATTTGACCTTCTCGGTCACGTCATTAGTTTGAGACTCTGATGGGAGATGACAACGTAATAAGTCTTACTTATCCCTGTTTCCCAGTGGGGCAAACTGACAGAGAGATAAAGTAACTTAGCTGAGGTCACACAGAGTCAGCCAGAACCAGAACTTGGATGATTCCCAGTCTCACGCTGCCTCTCCACTGGGTCAAAAGGAATGCTGCTCAAGTTAACAGAAGGCCTAAAATCTGACCCCTTCTGTTACAAGAGACATGCAGGGTACGGGGGGGGAAAAAGTGACTGCATGACATATTGAAAGATTCGCCATAAAAAAAAACACAACATAAAGCATAGCAGGTAGGTACATAGTCCCTCATTATGCCATACAAACTTACTGTGGCCCATTTTCCACTTGGTTTCACCTACAGTCTCAGTGCAGAATGAAGGGTCCTTTGAATGACCAAAGTTTGGAGATTTCAAAGTGTCTTACACAGAAGAGGCAGATAAGAGCTGTTAGGCTCTATGGGCGTATCTAGACTACGCAGAACAGACGAAAGAGGAATTTGCAGAAATTTACATATCTTCTTCTGATCCCACTTTTGAAAGCAGAGCTTTCGAAAGTGAAAGTAGTTTAGATGCATTTTTTTTGACAACTCCCCCTCCCCCTTTTTTGAAAAGCCGTTTAAACTTAATGTTTTGAGGAAGAGCAGCTTTTCAACAAATGGGGGGCGGATTCACCGAAAAAGCTGCGTCTAAACTACTTTCACTTTCGAAAGCTCTGCTTTCAAAAGTGCAGTCAGAAGATATGTAAATTCCCGCAGGATTTGCATATCCTCTTTCGACTCTTCCACATAGTCTAGATGAGCCCTACATGTCCTCTGGGTGGCCAGGGCAGGACTGTCTCTGCAGCATAGTCTGGTGCTTTATCTGAATGATCTAAGTGCTGGGGACTTTCATCATTCCCTGAACAAGCTTCTGACAGGGCTTCCACAGACTAATATAGTGCATTGTTTGGTAATTATTCCTGTAGTTAAGTTCACCTTTTCTTTCTGCATTCACTACCACTATCTTGGGGTAAGCTGAAACATCAGCAGCATGCTGTTATTAGAAAGAGCAATTTAATACAATACCAGAGGACTGCTAGAAGGAACAGGGTCTTTTTATGTAAACAGGAGACTTGACAACTAGGTTTTTGTTTCCTCTGTTTTGTTTATGTGGGAATGCAGTATTTTGGGCTAAGTATCTTTTTTGTTTTTTAAAGCTGGTACAAAGAATTTTATAAAAGCTAGGCCCATCCAAATGGAAGTGATGGAACTGCAATCACTTGCTATTACAAAAGCTTAATGTAGTAAAAAAAAAACCCACCAAAATGTAAAACCTACCACAATCATTTATTCATATGAGATGAAGGCAGGGAGGGAAGTTACCCACTATACCACCTGTTCTTGCCAAATCCCTTCTATTTTTAATTTCAACTCCATCTTAAAATCTTAGGGACAGCATTAAAATCTGCATCTCTTCCCTGGCCAGGAAATTCTAATGGTTCATGCTGAAGGCTTTGGCTTTGGCCTTGGCCCACCTCTAATTATGAATGATCACAGTAATTTCATTTTAAGGATTCCAATGAATTGAGACAACAGTTCCTCAAAAGTCACTGAATCAGAACATCTGAAAAAGTAAATTGTGTCGGTAGTCCATAGATTAGGTGGGCCCTGAACGCTGATTTCATTTACTTAATAGAAAGAGCATCACTGAAGGCAAGCAATAAAGTTCCCAACATTTTTCCTCCAACTCAATATTGCAGACTGCAGGTCAGTCTTTTCCTCCCTTTGGGGAAGCTGCTGTGCTTTGCAGAAGTTATGAAAGTCCCTGCACTGATACCACAGAGCAGGAGGAAGGATGGGACATACAAAGCCACCATTGTGACTCAGCGAGCATTTTTTAGCCATGATACCTTCCTCTTTGAGGTTATCCAAAAGATCCATCCAACTGGATGACCAAGGGCATTCTGAACTGTAGACAACTTATAAGGTTCAGGGTGTTACTGCTTTGTAGGTTAATATCAGAGTTTGAAGAACAATAAATGTAAGGGAGGGAGAAAAAATATGTATGAAAGGGAGGCTCTTACCTTCACCATCAAAAATAGGCTGGGTCTCCATAGTGGGCGTGGGCTTCGAACCATCATCTGAATTGAGAGTTAAAAAGAACCGAAAAGAAACTACCATTATTGAGGTAAATACTATCTACTCTCCAGTACAGTTGAATGGTTGGGATTTGTACATGGCCCGGCCAAGTCCAGGAGAGAAGAGACAGACAGACAAGACAAAATAATGTTTCAGAGTTTACTTGGATATTAGTGGAATGTTGCAGTATACAGTAAACATTCAGTGATCACTATCTTGAAATCTGAGAGAATTCCTCCCTCCCCGTAACACTGACATGAACCACAGGTATTTTCCCCTTCTCTTTGATGCATTGATATCTTTTGGTATCAGGTGGGCTTCCTCTCACACAATTGGTATCCTGTGATACCAGGGAACGGGGAATTAATGGACTCACGTCTTTCCCATTAGCATCTTTACTAAAAGAACTCATCTTCTGAAACTTACCCACATGGCGCCTGGCATCACCAGTCACTGAAGCGCTGTTAGAAAAGGGCTGTGAATTATTTCTTACACTGGTAATGTCAAGCTGCCCTCTCTCTCCAATGTGATAAGAGATAGAAAGATAGGAAGAAAAACTTCTGACATTAGCTTTCCCTGATACATCATGCTCCAATGTCTGCTGGCAACAAGAGTGGAGTCTTTCCCTTTTAAAATCGTAAACCAAACAATTAAATCCACACACACAACACTACCGCGGCAACATAGGCAAAAGATTAGCTGCTGGTTACATTGTGTAGACAGGCATTGATAGTTAAGTTTGGATTCTGGTTGAAAGTTTACCCTTTCAAAGGTATGCAGTGTTTGAATTTTTTATCCCTTTCTGGCTCCATCTCTACATGGCCTTAAAATACAGCATATGTGGTTGTAGAGGAGGACATAAAGCAAAAACACTGAGTTATACTGAAAATAACTGGGAAAGTCCATTCAGCTCCTCAGTTCAGTCTTGTGATACAGCATTGTGGTGCTGTATAAAGTGAAGGTGATGAGAAAACCTGGATATTTCTAGCATGTTGTGCTTTTTGAGAACTTACATCACAGCCTGTTACATGACCTCACACCAGACACTGATGGGGAAAGAAAGTGAATTCACAGTTACAAAGGACCTAGCAGAATATCTGAGTCTGGGGTGGGAGCAAAATCAGTAGAAAATAAGCCTATTGGGGCAATATTCTCATGATTAAAGTTTTTTTTTAATTCATTTCATTTTAAATACCTTTTCATTAGAACATTTAGTATTTATTTCTAGGTACTTTAATGAGAAAGAGAACCCAAACTGAAAAAGTGTGATTCAAATTCCATTCCCCCTGTACAATTTCATGGAAGAAAAGGAGATGGGAGAAAGTGAGTAATGGAGGACTGCTATACATTTTTGCCCCTTTGATTCATGCATTGTCCATATGTTCAACAAATGTAGTTTGAATGCATTTGAACACACAAAGTATACAACTTTTACCATATGATGTATAAAACACCTACATTTCTGGACAAAATTCTCAGAGGAAACGACCAGCGCTAGAGGAATAAGTAGAGACTAGTAACTTAGTACTTAGCAGCTCACGGGATCTGGCTTGGGAAAGGCTGCCATTTAACATGGGTTTTGCTGACATAAAAACCTTCCACCGTTGGGCTTTAAAGTTAGCAAGCCCTTGTGATAAAATTACATCAGTATAGTCCTCCTTTACAACGGTCCTCTGACGCCTCTCACAACTTCATGTAAATCGCATGCCAAACATGCACATCCTAAATGTCTTCTTTAAACTAGAAGGGATAGAAATGCCTTTTTTTTTTCTTAACAAAAAAAGGAGGGTGGGGAGACTAGCTGGATAGACCCTGGCTGAATGCTAGTCTGATGTCCTGCTGAGTAACAGCCAAGTCCAACCTCTATTCTGGATAGCCACGTATATTAAGTAAATATACATTTGTAATTTATTTCCCTGTAGAACAAACATTTATTTATTCGAAGAGTAGGGGATTTGTCACACCAGCTCAGGTCATGGATTCTGCCAGTCCAACGCACTGTATCCTGACAGGCATGTTTGCCCCACGTCAGTGAAAAGGGTTAAAGCAGCTCTTGGGGAGGACTGCAGCTTACCTGTGAGGCAAGTGGCTAGACAGGAAGCTGTAGTCTGCTACCAAGGCAAGTAGATGGACTAAGAACAGCTGGTCCCCAGAAGGGGGTGAAGAAGTGGCTGCAGGCTGTGCCCTGAAAAGGCTTCTGCAAACTGGGGACCAACGCAGGTCCCAGCGATTAAGCGGAAGTGATGGCAGGCAAGACCTCACTAAAAGGCAGCACAATGTTGAACTGCAGAGCTAATTCCCAGTATGGCCAGCAGGAGGTACTACAGTGGGAGCCCCACCTTGTTAGTGATCAATATTTTAGTCTTTAGAGAAATGTGGAAACCTCCATAATAGATCTAGTCATGCTTAATACTTGATATAAAGTGATTTCTTTCTGTCCCCTGCAGGAAATCAGCTTGTTACCTGAAGCATCAGACTTGATAAAGTAAAACTAGAAATGTTACCAATCAAAGTTATCCAGCTCTTAAAAAAAAAACAAAAAAACCCACAAGTGTCTAGCCTCAGTACTGGGCTTCCTTCATAGGAGACAGTGTGTGGGTGAAGAGGTGGTTGCAAGAGTAGCTGGACTACTATTTACATGATGCAACAGCCTGACTAAGCCATGTTGTGCATGGCGGGAGATGTAGCCTAACTAGGGAGCCCAGCCCATAAGAAAAAAAGTGTGTCAGTCAAGAACGCCAATGAGGCAACAATGAGAATCAGTTTAACATTAAGCTGAATTTTAAAAAAATATTCCTAATTAGTCAATATTCCTAGTTAGTTCAACATACAAATAAAACATTACAAACATTACTCATACATACTTCATTTCAATTTTCTTGACAAAAGTATCAAAAAGTTTTGGAAAAGTTGAAATTCTATCATAATTCAATTATGGAGAAATTATATTCTGCCAAAAAGCCTTGATGGAAAATTCCTGACCGGGTCTGTACAAACAATGGATGAAATCCTGATCCTTTTGAAGTCAAATCAGAATTTTGTCTTTAGTTTCAGTGAGGTCAGGTTTTAACCTAACAAAGGAACAAAAAATTTTATGAAATTTTAAGGGATAGGTTTTGCCTTCAATTTAAATTTAGAATGTCTATATAGGGTCAAACCCTCACATGGATGGTTGAACCAGAAAATAAAACAGGAAAATGAAAGTGAAATTGTCCTGTTAGTGACAAAAGCTGAGGGAAGTGAAAGAAGTTCACAGACAGCAATGACGATGAAAAGTAAACCAAAGTGTTCTTAAGTAGAAGTGATAACATTTTTAGTTTAGAGATTTTTCTAACCAAAAATGGCCCCTTTATGGATGTGGAAATTTTCCAGTGTTTCCAAAAAAAACCCAAAATATTCTGGCTTGTAAGATGGGGAGGGGGAGTGGAAAACTAAAAACTTAAGACAGGAGCTTTTAATTTTTGTCAAAATTGAAAATTCCCAGTTAATTCATCACTACCACCATTTTGCTCCGTATCAAAGAATTTTGAACTTAGTTTTACAACAGTTCTTAATGTTAATGTTACTGAGTATTACTCTTCATAACAGTGATAAGGAAAAAATGTAGGTACACAGGGCAAATACTTTCCTAGTGTAACTCTTTTGGCTTCATAGGAATTAGAAATTGAGGGCCAAATTGCTCTCTATCTTGATGTTATCCCTTTAAAAATAAGGCTGTCTAATGAAAGGAAAGTTAATGAACATTCTTTGTCAGAACAGCATGCTGAACTTCAACATGATTCATGAAACCACAGCAATTGCTTTTCCATACACACAAATTATTGTTCTTAGGTGAGAACTGCTTCGGCTCCTAAGGATTTAGAAGTCAACATGACTCTACAGCAAAGATTACCACATACAACAGTCTGAAAAACATCTAATTAGGAAAGGACTGGGCATAATACCTGACAGTATATTAATAAATTTATTTATAATGTTACCATGAATGCTAAACCACCAAGTAATTCCAAAATTGTTTTTCGCGTGTAAAAACAATGAGTCAAATTAACAAGGGTGGGAAAATACCCACTCCCCAAAATAGATCTGAACCACAAATTTTGTATCCAAATTTGGATCTGAACTTTGGCAAACTTCAGCAGTTTAATCGGGGGTGGGGAGTTGTTTTAGTTTTATCTCAGAAAGAAAAACAAAACACTAATATACACAAGATTTTTGGTAAATACTGACTCCTTCTCAGGAACCCAAGCCTTTCCTTTAGATTTATCCAGAAATAGCCATTGGTTTTCACAATAACATACCAAGTAATGTTATATATTATATATAAAATAATCATCTTAAAAATTAAGTATCTTGATATTACAAATAGAACCTCATATACCTCTTTTCCCCAGTTAACTGCCATAGCTGAATTTGCAATTACTAAATCCATTATGGCAGCACTCAAAACCATGCTTTCCAAACATAAGACTACACAGTACCTGTCCTGTTTAAGGAACTTGATTCCTCCTCACATTGATTTAAAAAAAATACAGCAGAGTTGAACTTGTCAAAACACAGGGACTCCTGGTATTTTTCTGTTTGTTTGTTTAGGGGGTCATGTAATAGTCATGAAACAAGTAGTACATTTTATTTTACAAAGTATATGCTACTGTTGCTGAAGCCAGCTGCATGTCTGAGGCCAGAGGATTTTTTTCAGTAAATCCATGTTCCCAACAAGTATTACTAAAACTTGTTCTTTATTTCACAATGCTTTCAACTTGGAGCATAACAGCAGCTACAATATTGCCTACTCTCATCTGACTTTTTTCACTCCAGCCACTGCTCATCACACTGACCTCTCATTCCTCTGGTGTCTTTGTTCCTGGTAAACTACTGAGTGAATTCCAATTGGCATAGCAGTAAGTTATAAAACATTTGTACTTATTTAAAAAAGCATTCTGGTTGATTAAATGAAAGCCCAGGGCATTTCAGATTTCCCAGAAGTTCCTAGCATACAACAATATTACAGGTAAAAACAGGATTATGTAGTCCATTT